GACTTATCCAAGTGGGAGACTGTTGGATAAGGTGTCTAAGTCCATAACTATTTCTGGTATGTACTTGACCCAGTTTGGCATGGTCCATTTGGGTTGCATGGCATCATGCATTTGGATAGACTAAAATGAGAGAAATAACACTTATGGTTTATTAATATATTATAAGTTCTAATATATTAATAATATTATATAATTAGTATTGATCAAGAATTAAATTGGAATTAATTAAGTGATCAAAAGGATACTAATTAAATATATGGGTTGATTATGTAAATCATCCATAACTTGTATAGTGGGCTAAAGGCTCCATGGATTATCAAGTTGGACTAAGGTCCATAGAATGCTCCATGGATGCTCCATGGGAGTTACAAACCCATGGGTCATGGAAATGAAGAGTCATGTTACATTAGTGTTTACATGGTGTAACCCTAATTGTAACACACTATATAAAGGATATGAAGCTCACCAAAATCGGCCACTAGAAGCAATTTAGAGGGCAAGCCGATTTCTAAGTGTGACATTCTCTCTCAAAGTTTATTCCAAGAGCATTTGGTGTTGTGTGAAACATTTGAGGCATCACACTTGGGGTGCTAGGCTCTCAAGGTTTTCAAGGAATCAAATCAAATACAAGGTATGTAATTCTAGCTAAATTTTATGTTAAAAGTTCCCCATGTATGCTAGATAGGATTATGAACCTTGGAAAAAGTATTTTGCATGTATTTTTAGACAAACATATATCCAAGGTTTCTAGGGTTGCATGTACACCTTAGGAGTGTTAGAATGCTTAAAACCCATCACACTTCAAGATTCTGGCAATCTCTTCAGAAAGTAATGGGAACACAGCTAGATATGAGCACTGCCTATCACCCACGGACGGATGGTCAGAGCGAGCGTACCATCCAGACACTTGAGGATATGCTCCGAGCTTGCGTGATTGACTTCGTCAATTCATGGGATGCTCACTTGCCTCTGATTGAATTCTCCTACAACAAACAGTTATCACACGAGCATCAAGGTTGCTCCTTACGAGGCTCTCTACGGGCATAAATGTAGATCACCCCTATGCTGCGCCGAGGTGGGTGACACTCAACTAGCAAAAGGGCAATCACCAGCCAGTGCTCTCACAGGACTAAAAATCATCCGTGAAATGACCGAAAAGATAATCCAAATCAAAGCTCGACTTCAAGCATCGCGAGACCGACAGAAGAGCTATGCTGACAAGCGGCGGAAGCCGTTAGAATTTCAAGTCGGGGATCACGTGTTACTAAAGGTCTCTCCATGGAAAGGAATGATCCGCTTTGGGAAACGAGGAAAACTGAACCCGCGATACATTGGAATGTTCGAGATTCTTGCCCGGATTGGTCCAGTGGCTTACAAGCTGCAGCTACCTGCCGAGCTCAGCAACGTACACCCCGTGTTTCATATCTCAAAACTGAAAAGGTGCCTAACAGATGAAACTCTTGTCATTCCTATAGAAGAGATCGAGATCAACGAGAATCTCCTGTTCGTCGAAGAACCAGTTGAGATATTGGATAGGGAAGTAAAGCGTACAAAGCAAAGCCGCATTCCGATTGTGAAGGTTCGATGGAACGCCAAGCGTGGACCGGAATTCACATGGGAACGCGAAGATCAAATGAAGCAAAAGTACCCTCACTTATTCTCGCATTCACAAACCTAACTTTCAAAAGAATTTTTGGACGAAATTCCCTCTAACGGGGGATGATGTCACAACTAGCTATTTAGCTAGGAAATTCTACTCTCATGTAATCATTCAACTATTGTAAAGCATGTACTCTATGTAGATATCACTCAATGCACATTCAAATACACCTCTTATGTTCAACAAAGAGTTTGAAACTCTAAAAATCCCGGTTCAAGTCTAATAAGGCCTAGGATTTCTTGTTGGGCCTAATGGACCAAGAAGTATCCAAGTTGACTAATTTGGGCCTAAAAACCCTAATTTGGGCTCTAAACGGTTCCACCTTCAAGAAACTTGACATTTTGGGACATTATGGGCCTAGGATGGATTAGTTTACCCTAATGGGCCAATTTGGGCCACACAAATTCCAATAGCCTCAATGGACCCTAAACATCTTTAATTAGACTTCATTAGGCCGTGAACTACCCTAAAGGCCCAATGGGCCGAAAACTACTTATTGGGCTTCACAAACTCGATCCAAACCAAGAGTGGGCCAAGCAAATTCAAATCCATTTATCTTAAGCCCAATTCTCGGCCCAAGATAAAAAAAAGATCAAGGGAGGATTTAGGAGGTGATGATAACACATAATTGTCTAACATACTTCTAGATAATCACAAACATCCATGAGATCTTTACCCTCCATGTAAAATTTTTCCTTCCCTCTCTCCATTTCTTTCTCTCGGCCGAAGACAAGCCCACAACACACCAATACACTTTCAAAACTTTCTCTCAAACATACTCTCAAGAACTTCTCCAACTTTCTCTAAATTTTCGAGATTTAGTGTTGTTTCAAGAAGGTTTTCACCAAAAATCATCATTCCTTGGTAAGTTATTATCAAACACAAACATCTCCTTTCATTTTAACATTAAGAACTCCTTCTTACATAGCCTTATTCCATGATCACACTCTTAGAAACTTCTTAAGCTCGAAATCTACTCAAGAAGGCTTGTTATGGCCGAAAACACACTCACTTCTTCTTCAAATCAAGATCAATCAAGCAAGGTGAGTTCATACCCCCTTGTTTTCGGTTTTCTACTTGTTTTTGGGGGAGAATACAAGTAAAATGTGTAGATCTATGTATTATATGCATGTCATGTGTGATTTCTTGTATTATGTTGTGAATATGTGTTAGAACTTGACAAATCTTGAAATCCTTGACAAGAATGAGTAAAATTCATAAACTAAAACATTTTATACATCATACTACAAAGATAAAAGTATATTGCATGTCTAAATGTGTAAAAACAAAACAAAACTTGTGTAGTAAGATCATTTTGTCAAATAAACAAAAGATTGGGCCATTTATGTCACTTTCGGTTTTATGAGGATCAAAAAGAATGTATTTGTATAAAAATGAGTTTTTGTGATAATCACACTTTTTAAAGGACCAAAGATGAAAATTTTTAGCCTTTTGGGCTTAGAAGTTTGGGCCTTACGGTTTTGGGCCCAATTTGCGAAAAAATGAGACTTTTAGGGCTAAAAGTGTTATTTGATCAAAATTTGAGCCAAAAATGTAAATAAACTGAAATCAGGGTTAAAAATGTCATTTATTTCTAAATTGGGCTAAAAATGCAAAGTTTTTGGAATTTGTGCCAAAAATGTAAAATTCACGAAAAATGGGTCAAAAATGTAATTTTCTGCAAAAATGGGCTGAAAACGCCAATACATGTATTTTTGGGTCAAATCTGTCAATTATTAAACATTTGGGCCGAAAATATAGAATTTTTATAAATTAATGGGCTAAAATGTTATTTTTAACTAAAATGGACCAAAAATTACATTTTTGTGAAATAAGCCTTTAAGTGTCTCAAGCCAGTTTTTAAGAGGTTTAAAGCGCAAGTTTTATTAAAAATCATTTCAAATTGTAGAATTACGACATAACAAACTATATTATAACGAACAAACGAAATACAACAATGGTGTGATTATTGGGTCTAGTAATTGTTATGCATGTTTATTGGGCCTTCGTGGTCTCATTTACATGTTTATTGGGCCCAATGTATTCATCACATGTCTATTGGGCCTAAGTGACCCAATTACATGCTAAATGGGCCTAATTTAGCATTTACATGTTATTGGACCTTAGTGGCTCATTTACATGCTAATTTAGCCTGGAAATAACTTACACATCCAATGGGCCATATGAGCATATTTTTGGGACCTCTGGGTATACGACTTCTTTTGTGATATCGTGTTCACCACTCCTCTCCGACCCTTCTTATGTGATCTCATATCCACTCCGGACCATTCTTCTCATCATCATAGCCGAAGTAGAGATTGATCGCATCAATATCAATTTATCACCAATATTATGATGATAAGTTGATATTGATCAAATTTTATAAAGTGGTAAAAAAAATTTATAATGTATTATATGTTTTTAAAGTTACTTTTGTTAGAAATATAAAATTGTAAATTTTCTCCTTAAGCGATCTTACTAAACAACATTAAGCATTAGAGTCTTTAAATCAATCATCCCGGAGTCTTTAAATCATTCGGGCATGAAACCCTAAAGCATTTAAAAGTTACCAAACCCTTTAGTTTTATAGTTTCTACATCAAAATAAACGTGTGTTCTAGAAATAACCTTCCTTGTAAAGCTTGATAGGAAGTTGTTTTTGTAATATGAGAAATTTTCGATAAAGTCTTAATATTTTTGGTGAGTTTATGATTTAATCCCAATATTTGTTTTTTGAACAGACTATTCTTTATTATCTAATTTTATATGTTAATCTGTTATTTTCTATAGAAAAAATAATAATAATAATTGTTATGTTAATTTGGAAAAATATAAAATAATCAGAACTTTTCTGTTCAAAAAATTAAAATTAAAATTAAACCGTAAACTAACCCAAAATTTTATGATTTTATTGGACTAAAACTGCTCTTAATTTCTTTCTAGTTTTGGAATACAACCAATGAATACCCATTTACTTTTATTTCTAATTCTAATTCGATAAATGCAACCGACTTATTTTTAATGATATCGTCACTCGTTGATTAATTTACCATGTCACCCCTATGTCTGGCTCCCAACAAAATATATTCACATTACAAACCAAGGGTGATAAATGCCATTTCCTACATAAAAAAAAACAAAAAACGTTTCCTTCGTTTAAACAAACCCTCCAAACCTCTTTCTATTATTGAGTTTGAAATTTCAAATTTCGAATCTAGATTGGAATAAATTATGTATATCTTTATAAGATCATAACAATTAATTTTGTCGGCTAAACATATATATACTCCCAAACCTCTTAAACATATGCATCACACATGACAAGATGTCAAGAAATCAACCCAAATAATCATAATTCATAAACATATTCCATTCCAAGAAAGAAAATTAATCAAAAAATTAATGGTCATTAACGAAAATGATTAAAGAAAAATCCGAAAAAGACATGACAACCACAACCACTCTCCATCCCTACCATGAAATTCAAAACAACAGCAAATGATTTCTTCATCCTTGGCCAATAATGTCACAACGAGCTAGTACCTCATGCAATGAAAGTTGTACGTAGTTGGAGGGAAATTTCAGATCTTCTTTCGTTTTCAAAGACCCTTCCTTAGGTAAGAAATTCATTACTCCATAAGCATAAATATATTCCATTTCCTGTTCATTGCTTTTTCTTCTACTGCAAGTGAAAAATCCGAAATAAGGTTGTTGTTATATGATATCTAACCTACACTTGCTTTATACGTACTCCCACCACCATTATTCTACTCGATCATCTTCTGATCTTCATAATCTACCCTAGATTATCTTTATCGTTTCTCTAGCTCATCTTTCTACTCTGATTACGTATGTTTTCATTTAAGTTTTCCATGTAAAATTCTGGGTTTTTATAGAAAAACTAACATGGATTAGATGTCTTTCAGTGATTAAACATCATCATGCCATTTGGGTTGGTTTCGGCTTGGAATAAGAGAAGAAGAAGCAAGTCAGATGATCATCTTGATCCATGTAAGTGTTCTTCAGTTTCTGCATGTTAACAGACAAGATTTCTTGAAGTTTTAATGGTGGATGATGAACTTTCAGGGGTTTATAGACCTGTGGAGTATTGGAAACTTGAAAATGAACAAAAGATTCAAAACCCACCTCAGAAAAAGCACCATGGATCTTCGGTTTTTACATTAAAGGAAATGGAAGAGGCGACTTGTTCTTTCAGTGAAGAACACTTAGTGGGAAAAGGAGGATTTGGAAAAGTTTACAAGGGAAAGTTGCAGTCTGGTGAGGTAAGTTTTCAGAAAGTTATATTGAGTTTAATTATTTTTTTAATCTTTTTAAAATCCCAAATAGACATAGAAACTATGATCTTTTGCAGATGATACCAAGTTATTCGTATTTTATACATTTTTTCATTGTTTTCTCAAATACTTTTAAATAGTGCATAACCAAAAGTATGATATTGAAGTGTAGCATGAATTAATGTTTCAAAAATAAACTTTTAATCACCCCAAACTGACTCAAAAACAATTACAATTAATAGTTTTCAGCAAGTGGTGCATGTTGTTGTATACATTATTTAATTTTCACTGTTTTTTCACATAAAAAAAATTATATAATAGAAAACTAACTTTAATATTTATAACAAGGCTTAATTTCAAAAAAGCCGTTAAGTTTAGCAGGAATGTTCGGTTTAACATTTTTAACGTATTTCAGGCTCATTAAAACCGGAAGTTTGCAACTTTTATTTTAATTTTACCTTTTTACATATTTCACTATTTCTGGTTCATTAAAGCCTTTAAATTTGATAGTAATATCCGGTTTTACCTTTTTTGTGGTTTATTAAAACTCTTAAGTTTGATAGAAAATATTCGATTTTATCAGTAACCTGCAAAAAAAAGTACAATTTAAAATTTTAAAAAAAAAAAAAAAAAAGTTGCAAATCTTCGGCTTTAATGAATCACAAATACTCAAAAGGCTAAAACCAAACATTTTTACCAAAGTTAAAGGTTTTTATGTCATTAGACGTTATGAAAATTAGAGATAATAAAAAAAATGATCACTTTCTCAAAAGTAATTTAACATTTGGACCACCTTTAAAGTCAAAACGGCAAACATCATCAATTTGGCAACTCAATAGCGAAATTCTACCAAAAATAAATTATCTAAATCACAAAAAATGTGAAAAAAACGCTAAAAAGATCTAAGAAAAATAATTTTTTTTAGAATTGTTTTTGAAGAAAGAAAAAGAAAAACTTTATAATTTAAAAAGGTCCATTTTTATCCTATGAATACTTTTGATTTGTGTTATTGCAAAATAACATGTTGATAGACCCTTGTTGAATCTGTCGTATATCCTAGGCATTCTAACACTCACACTAACTGAAATACTTGATAATATTCATAAAGATAGTTTTCTTACAATTCTAGAAGTGAGAGTCTCTCCAGAAAAAACAATGTTCTCTTACAAATTAATTCTTAGCTATGTTCTCTACTTTCTAACTAGATATATATACTACTAGGACTAAGATGAGACAAAAGAATTACAACACACCTGACCATAAAAACATGGTACTATCACTAACATAAAATCATGCGCTAATATCAAAAGTACTAAAATACCCCTTGGCTATAACCAAAATAATAAAGTTGGGGCTTATCACATCCACAGCCAAAATAATAATTATAGGATTCACGACTGTATCACTAAAGCTTTTCAGTACTGCTAAACATATTTCTCCCAAACAAAAAGAAAACCTTAAACTAATAAATGAAAAAAAAAATCACTATTTCAAAATTGTAAGAACAAGTTCACAACTTTTAAGAACAATTTTGAAATGTGAAATACACTTTAAACTTTATAAACATTTTTTAGAAATTTTTGTGGTGGGGGAACTGTTTTGAAATTATTTGTAATCTCGTAATTGACCGGTTGCAAAATTGATCGTAAACTTGACCTTTTGTCTAAATAATGTCAAAATGATCAATGCCTTTGGAAAAAAAAACAAGGTCATTTTTGTAATTATCTATGGATTTAACCTCCAAAAATAACTTTTAGCACCCTAATTAAACCTAAAAACAATAACCATGTTGATCTTTAAGTTGTTTTCACTATTTTTTTTTTTTCACATAACAAATGTTGTTGTGTATAGTTTCCTATATAACTCGATGAATTCACACATATTATCATAATAAAGATGGGTTTAGATGAAATCGGGAAAAAACAAAAAAACAGATTTTGAATGAAAAGTAAAAATCTTGAATTTTTACTGGAAGGTGGTTGCGATCAAGAAAATGGAGTTACCACCATTCAAAGCAGCAGAAGGGGAACGTGAATTTCGAGTTGAAGTTGATATTTTAAGCAGATTAGATCACCCAAATCTTGTATCTTTGATAGGATATTGTGCAGATGGGAAACACAGATTTCTTGTTTATGAATACATGCACAAAGGAAACTTACAAGATCACTTAAATGGTTTGTGTTTTTACTCTCTTTTTATCGGTTTGTAAGAGCAATATCTAAATATCATATTTAATTTTGGGTTTTGTTATCATTGATAAATGATAAATACAGGAATTGGGGAAAAGAAGATGGATTGGGCTGTGAGACTTAAAGTGGCAATTGGGGCAGCAAGAGGACTTGCTTATTTGCATTCAAGTTCAGCTGTTGGAATTCCTGTTGTACATAGAGATTTCAAATCAACCAACATTCTTCTTGGTGATGATTATGAAGCAAAGGTATAATCCTCTTCACTTTCTTTAACATTTCTACAAAAAAAAAAAAACGGGTTATTTTTTCAACTACTGGCTCATATTGTCATGTCATGTCATTTCCTGTCCCAAAACATCATGTGAGAGGTAAATCAGATACAGGTATAGCAGTGCATCTGTTGGCTGGTATAAGGCCCAGTGTCCACACACCAAGCCACATTGGAATTAAAACTTTCACATTGTGTTTGTTGATATTTAATACTCGAACATTTGACCTTTTCTACAACTTCTTCAATTTTCAAATTTAGTAATTTTATGGTTTTAACATATATCAGATTTCGTGTCCATAGATCAATCCACATTAGAATTAAAAGTCACATTTTGTTTGATGATATTTAATACTCGAACCATTGACTTTTTCTACAACTTCATTAATTTCCAAATTTAGTAATTTTATGATTTTAACAGATATCAGATTTCGGTCTGGCTAAACTAATGCCCGAGGGTCAAGAAACTCATGTGACAGCAAGAGTTCTTGGTACATTTGGCTATTTTGACCCCGAGTATACATCGGTAAGATTATGATATTCAAGTTTTTTTTTCTATTCAAAGTTGCCTAAATCGGTAAAATAACCAACCACATTTCTATTAATACAAACATTACACTCATCATATATATATATATATATATATATATATATATATATATATATATATATATATATATCTCAAAACGGTTGCATTTCAACTAACAGACGGGAAAACTCACTTTACAAAGTGATGTTTATGCATTTGGAGTCGTTTTGCTTGAACTTTTGACTGGGCGTAGAGCTGTTGACCTCAACCAAGGACCCAATGATCAAAATCTTGTACTCCAGGTATATTTTTTTGTCTGATTTACAAAAATGTTTAGGCCAAAATAGAAACTTTTCTCAATTTTGGTCCTTATCTCAAGGTTTCATATCAGTTTTGGTCCCTAGAATCCTGAAATAAAGGCCAAAACCGATACAAAACCTTTAAATAAGGACTAAAAATAAAAAAATGTTCTGATTTGGACTAAACACCGTAAAAATCAGAAAACGCATAGACCATTTTTGTAGTTTAGTCTTTTTCTTTTTACAAGACCTTATAAGAGGTGGAGAATCAAGATATCAATAAGGGTATTTATGGAAATATGCAGGTTAGGCATATATTGAATGACAAAAAGAGATTGAGAAAGGTGATAGATCCAGAAATGAGTAGAAGCTCATACACAATCGAGTCAGTAGCCATGTATGCAAATTTAGCATCAAGATGTGTACGTGTTGATAGTTATGAAAGGCCATCAATGGAAGCATGCGTGAAAGAACTCCAAATTATCATATACACAAACTCCAAAGGCTTGGGCATGGCTATGCATGCATTTAGAATGTTATAAAGATTCGGTAGACTCAATTTTATTTCTAAAAGTAATTATTTTTCCTTCTTATAAACAAGTATAGCATAATGCCATTGAAGCTTTTGGTGTTTTTCAAAGAAACATGAGGATTCCACAAACCCTAATAGAGAAAAAAAATAGTTTATATTTTGCCCCCAAACACAAAAGTTTGTCGATATCATGGCTCTCATTTCAAGTACACATCATGTTCTTTCTGCTCTATTCCTAGTATCTGTATTCTGCTTTATTGTCAGTATCTGATTTATTGCTAGTATTTGTATTCTGTTTTATTGCTAGTATCTGTTTTTTTTAGGCTCTTGTTACGTATGGTTGCATACATCTTATCTCACCTAACCAAATCCATATGGGATTTTGGGTTTGTTGTTGTATCATGTACTTTCATATGTTACTATTCATTACAACAATATTTTCTTTTGTGAAACTATACAACAAAAAGTAAACGTTTTGATTTTTCCTATTATACACTAATTGTAGAGCTTTAGACATCATACCTCACGTATTTGAAATGCATCTCTTAGGTTGACCGAGTTGACTTCTAAGAAAAAGTCAACCCGATACGTTGCTTTAAACCAAAATCTTGACCAAAGAACCAAACTTCAACCATACGAAAGCAAGATTTCTAAGCATCCATTTGTGCAAGATTTTTGTCATCATCATATGACATATTTGTCTCTGAAACGATGTTGGAGGGTGGAGGAAGTTGTTTACACATTAAATGCTTACGTCTTTGTAATGTTAAAAGGATCAAAATGCTATCAGTTTTGAAGATTGTGTATCCTGCTTTTGAATACATGTGAAATGGAGCTGAATCGATCATTCTACAGTGCAAATAAACCTCTCTCACTAAACTCATTTGAGAAATGAGTTCTTCACTTGCCTTCAAAAGATGCCAACCAATGCCCTGTCTGAAAGTAATCATACACAAATCGATTAAGAATTCGTGTTCTTGTTGGTGAAATTCCTATAAATTTACATAATCTTGAATGTATATGTGGCTATGTGAGTTTGCGATTCTTGAATGTCAAACTTGCTACTTTTGAAATCGAAAATTACTCACAAGTTTATAACATTACGATTTATGACACAATTTTTATGAATGTCAATCTTGAAAGTCAAGAACCTTAGAATATTGGACATTATAGCATCAAATGAGAAAGTAAAGCTGTAAAATTTATAAGAATTAGACATCAAGATACGAAAAGGAAGATGAAATGTTACCTTCTTAGGGATTTCTTGACTGTCATGTTACAAATATATGGTGCATTCTTTGGAGGGGTGGGAGATGGAGGTGAAAGATTAGCCCCCAATTTATCAAAACTTACTTCAACAGTCCCTGCTAACTGAATATCTTCCATTTCGCCCTTTTCTTCATCGGTATCTCTTCTATGAAACGCAATCAAAGTCACAGCATGAGGCATCAAAGCTCTCCTCTCAACCAAATACTGTTTCACTAGAAAACCCAATAATTTGACATAAGCCTTAGGTAACACCATGGATTCTGCAAAGGATTCGGCAAGTAACTCAACAGTCATGTCCATTTCTTGTTCTTGCATCACACGGATTAACAGCATCGACCCAGATGGCAATTTGTGGAAAATTTTGAAATTTTCGAGGAATTTTAGCTTTTCGAGATCATCGTTTGAGAGGAACTTTCCTGTCGGAAGTGGGTTTTCTTGGAGAGTTGGAGATGATGATGAGTGAGAGGAGCAAGTGAGAATGAGATGTGTGGATTTGGGGAAGATCTTGGGGAAAGGGTGTGTGAAGATGGGGTTTATGATATGGGTTTTGGAATGCGGTGGCTGATGGCGGAGAGTGCGATGGGCTTGGAGGCTGTGGTGGTGGTGGTGGTGGTGGTCAATGGAGGAAGAAAGAGAGAATGGTGTTGCGGCCATGAACGCGAGAGAGAAGGCTGTGGAGATTGGTTTTTTTGTTTTCCTTGTTTATTTGTGGATAAATATTTATATCGCTAGCCACTTAGCCTTGTGTTGGTGATGAGATCTTGACTTTGGAAAATGGAACAATTTTTTTCTATAAATATACAAGATATTTGTATACCATCTTCATATGAAGAATTATTATAACATCTAGTTGAAATAAGAATTAAAGTAATTTTTAATTAAAATAAAATAAATAGTATAAAATCGAAATTACCCTAAAAAATACAGCAATTACTTGGAAACAACATAAATTAGAACTATATTCATCTTAAAAGTGTTTTGACTCATATAAAACATGACGATGGGAGTTGAAGAGACGTACGACAAACACATTAAGCAATCGAACCTCTTTCTCGGACCTCAACCATCAAGATTTCTTTCCTTCCTCTGACGTTATTTTCTTTGGTTTTTCGTGTTTGATATTCATGATGAATGATACTCGGTAAGTTTGCTGAAACTTTTTCAAACTTATCAAATAATCATCATGATCTGATGGACATGCTTGAGTCTGTGACTGAGAGTAAATACATGAAGAAGTTACATTTATCTTCTACTTACACCACGCTATGGATGATATGGAAAGCGTGAAATGCTATTGTTTTCGGGAACATAAGGTGAGCGACTATGTTGATTGGAGATGATATTAGTATGGATACTTTCAATTGGATTAAACGTAGGGCTAAATGTAATTCTATTGTCTGACATTCTTGAAACTCTTCCCCTATCTTAGACTGTTTTTTGTAATTGCTTGAGCTTCTCACTTGAGTTTGTTGTTTGTTTCTTTGCTAATATATTGCTTGCCATTTAAAAAAAACTAGATTTGTAAGGGTAACCAATATGTATATCTTTGAGAAATAATTTAAACGAGATCTTAATCTATAAAATTTAAGATTAATGCGATGAAACTCCAAAGAAACAAGTCCATTCCACGACTATGGTGTAATTTAGAGTTGATTAAAGAGTTGTATGTATCGTCGTTCAAATAAAAATATGCAGTCAAAAAATAATCAGAGAGCGTGAGATTATAGACTCAAATACAATATGTCGTATGCAAAAGTTTGTACAAGGATTAGAGCCAGTGGCGGAGTCAGGATCAAAGTAAAGGGTATCCTTAAAAAAAAATTCTGAAAAAAATACCCTACTGAAAAAAAATTCGAAAAAAATTACACTACTGAAAAAAAATTTCAACTGCATCCTCGGGAACCACCTAGCTCCACCTATGATTAGAGCTAAGTCATATTCAAAACAAAGTATTACCTAAAAAATTATCAACATACATCATAACCAAACTCGAACAACATATGTGGGGGTTAAACGAATCGATAAGATAAATAGCTTAAGTAAACTATCAGATCTAAAACCATCATAGTAGCATATAGTATGGATGAATATTTCCTAAAGTATATATTCGCTTAAAATTATTGATTGATTTTTTGGTGATTTAATACGATCTAATATATTCTCATATGAAAGTAATGAAATATGGAATAATTGATTTAACTGGTTGGCAATGTAAGTCTCATGACGCTTATGCCATAAATGTGTGTGGATAAAAGTCATTAGCATTCCACCTCATTTTTATGGTAAACTAATATGGTCATAATTACAACACCTTTCATCTAAAATAATCATTTAAAGTAAAAGTTTCAAAATGTTTTGTAAAACAATAATCATTTTAAGAAAACACATTACACATATGGTACCAAATAGTCAAATCTATAAAATTTTAAAAGATATAAATGTCTAAACTATAACACCCCGTTTCCAGATCGGATCGACCTAGGGCTTCAAGGAGTCAAATGCATGGTTTTTGGGTAAAATCAGGGCTCACGACGTGACCATTGAAGTGTCACGACGTGAGAAGGGATTTAATGAAGATTCTGATTTAACTGAGCTCACGACGTGAGGTACGTTGTAGCCCAAGCCTACGATCTTTTAGGGTGTCCATCGTATTTAAACCCCATAAACTTCATTTTAGGGTTCCAAAGCAGCCTCCTTCGTCCCTAAACTCAGTAAAACCTAACCATAGTCTCTCCTTGTGTTTCTTGAGCTTTTGGTGGAGTTTTTGAGATTTGAAGAAGAAGATATCATCATGGAAGCACAGTTGCAGCTTGGAAGCTTCATTTACAACCTTTAGCCACACTTCTGGACCAATGTAAGCAATGAATATCCAAGCTTTATGTTTCCTTATTGCTAGATCTAAGGTTTTATGCATATTTATCCAAGATCTTAAGAGTTAGAGTGTTGGGACTCCATAAAGTTGGCAACTTTATGGGTCCTTAGGGTCTCTGGATGCTTATATGTCATGGATCTGAAGTTTGAATGATGTCGGAGTTCATGCATGAGAATTTATCTTCTTTTTCTCCATGAATGACCTAATTTGAGCCCAAGTATTGTATTGGACATACAAGACCTTAAAGCATTGATTTTTATGATCCTTGGAGTGTTAGGAAGCCTCATGGAATAGATGGATTAGTTGCTTAATGGATTAAGAGGTTTTTGAATCAAAATGACATTCAGACGGACCTCACGACGTGAGGAGATGCATGTCACGTCGTGAGGGTGGTCATACTCGAGTATTTTGTCTTGTAGTGGCTCACGACGTGAGCCATAGATGGTCATGTTGTGAGGGTATGCTGACCGTTGACTTTCGTTGACCGTTGACTTTGTGACCAAGTTTGAATTTGGGTCAAACTTGAGGATTTTGGGCTATTAATTGAGATTCTATCTGGTTCTTGTGTTAGTGGATTCGCGGGAGCAAGCAGTGCTGAAAAGGGGTCATATCGCAGTGTTCAGAGTTCTTTGATTCAGGTGAGTTCGCCTCATTGTACTGTGGGTCGAAGGAACCAATGTCGGCCCACTAGTTTTGGTTATCTGTCAGTAGAAGGATGCCTTAGGGACTGTATATAGTCATGTAGGATAGACTGAGGAATTTTGGTCTAAGCTCTCTTACTTGTTCCTTGTTTGGTTGTGGTTTTAGAGTAGGACCACCTGTATAGGTGGCTATCTTACCTCTAAATATATACGGTCATGCATTCATTGGATTGTTGATACTTAGTATGTTGTTATGTTGTAGTGATCTGTTAGATCGGTATCCTGGTATATAGGATATTACTATGTTGTAGTGATATGTTAGATCGGTATCCTGGTATATTAAATATTGTTATGCTATAATGCACTGTTGGATCAGTATGTTATCTGTATTTGCTAGTTATCATCTAGTGGAGTGCCCTAGGGACTATCTGTGGTCATGTAGGATAGCCTGAGAACTCTTGATCTAGGCTTTCTTGTTTGTTCCTTGTTTGGTTGTGGCTCTAGATTAGGATCATCTGTTTGGGTGGCTATCTCACCTCTGGCTACTTATAGTTACGCATTACATGGAGGTTAGCTAGTAGTGGGACTGTATCCTATGAGAGGACTAGTAGGCAGTAGTGAGTTGTATGATTGATGTTTTCATGTATTATGCGCCTACTTGATCCTTGATTGTTTATATGTCGACATATGGTAGTAGTGGGTTGAGGCGGTCCTATTTTGTGTTGTAGGCCAAGATACCCGATGCGGGTCGGCTGTAAGCCGAAGGCATGGAGGATCAGGAAGAGCGATTGGGTTGAGGCGATATGCCAACAAACCCTGGGTATTCCAGCCCGATGGCTGATTGGACCCGTTGCATGTTGGCATTCCAATCTGAGGACTGATTGGGCCTGGGCATTCCAACCGGGAGGTTGTGGGTCGTTATGCATGCTTGTATGTTTATCTTATGGGGTATTTTGGGGGAAACTCACTAAGCTTTGTGCTTACGCAGTTGTTTTATTATTTCAGGTATCAACGGTCATCATGGGAAGGCTAAGGCGTGCTGACACATTCATCAGCAACAATGAAGATTTTCGCACTTTACTATTACTCTGATTTTTCATAAATGTAATTGAATTAAACGTTTTTTCATTATTGGATTTATAATTGGGAGGATTTACTTAAATAAAAAATGAAAATTTTTTGTTGTGAAAAATGGGACATTACATAAACATACGAGAACATAAAAAAAATGTCAAGGTACAATAGTTAAAGTGTTTAATTACTTTTACATGAAAATAAATTTCTTCTTATCTTTTATCTTTTTTCTTCAGTATTCATCTAAATATCATAATCTAAACACATGTCAATATAGGTAGGTTAGGCTTGTGACTCTTGGTAAATGTTGCTACTATACCTTCGCACCTCTTTCTTCTTCTTTCTATCACATGTTTAAGAGTTATATTCATTTTTTTCCTGCCATGTATTTCCCACTTACCATTTCTTTCTCTTTGATCAAGAAACCTCTCCATCTCTAATGTATATCGCTTCCTAATCTAATTTGGATTTGCCAATACAATACCACTGCTATCCCTCTAGTATATTCCTAAACCCAAATTCATTAAAATGTTATATTTTTATATATATGATACTTAATATGTTTTGAAATGTTCATTTACAGTTAAAATGAGAGTTGGGATACAAAAAGAGGAGAACGGAGCTGAAAAAAAAACACAAAAGGATGTTGTTGGACATCTTGACCCCTTGTCAGTATTTTGGTCATATCTCATGACTCGTAACTCCAATTGATGAGAATCAAAATGTTTTGGAAACTAGATAAAATTTCAGATGACTTTCGCTTTTGCGCTAAGTGCAAATCTTTAGGTATCACGTCGTGACAAGGGCACTGTCATGACGTTAAAAACCCTAGTTTATATGTTTTAATTTCGTTAGCTGGATTATGTGAGTTAGGTTTTAACTTGTGATTGATTGATTGTTTATCTTTCATGTTAAAGTTATGATTTTTATTACCTATATGTGAGTTGTGTGTGATTTAGATGATCAATCTGGTAACATTAGCTTGATTCTTAAATTTTTATGATCATTAAATTGTTAGAACTAGTGATTTATCCAATCCAAGGGTAGGTAATATTAATCGGTAATTTTGATTGTGTTTGATTATAATAGTTATCTATTTTATCTTGATTCATTTTTTTAGAACAACAGAAAATT